CCCAACACCATCTCAGAACTCACCTGTGCGGATTTGCTCATCAGTCAGATGCAGAGGATTCATCCTTGAAAGAGTGAGGGATAGGTGGAGTAAAGTGAAGAACAATATTTTGATCATATTGATTAAAACAAAAGATAAATCTTTTCAAATGATTCAAAATGTGTTGAGGGGAAGCCAAGTTGAGCACAAGCAGCTACCATCCTTTTTCAGTGGGAGGAATGCACTCATTTTATATGGTGGCCTTTGATCAAAATTCCTCTTGGAACATTTCCTCACACATCTCTCTCTTAAACTTTGTATTTGGTTTTATTGATGCACTGCTCCAAAAAATTATATAAGATAAGGGTTTTTATATCACAAATAATCTATCTGAATCTAAAAAGTGATACACAAATTGCTGAACAAGTCTAGGCGCACTGCCTTGGAATTGTACAAAAATTATGATACAACTATCTGAAAAGTCTCATGAATTGAGATTGCTTTCATTACTGAAAAAAAGTGGTGCCCCATAAGGAGTCTACCAGCTGTGTATCCTGATGAATTCAAGATGTGATGTTTCAACAAGATATGACATGGGGCTTTTCATACATACAATACTTGACTGAAAGAAAAAAAAGTGATATTTGATGTGCTAAAAAAACACCATTGAAACAACACCTGAAGCCCTCTCCTTTGATCCGCTTCTTTTTTTCTTTGTAACCAAGTGTAAGCCTGCTATGCTTGACACCCACTCATGCTCCACTTATGAGACAAACTTGCACCTCTTGCGCCCCACCCTAATTTTTTTTGGTCTTCAGATTTGAACAGGGAATGTATTCCAGAATCTGTCTATAATTTGATTCAATAGATATACAGGAAGAGGTATATACAAAATTGAGAAGGCATGAACAGACCCATGAAGCATGTAAGGTAAAACAAAGATCCATGGATAGATCAGTGGAATCAATAATGTTTAAACTTATTTGGTCATGTGTGGTAGAATATCAACCACTTTAAACAGGGCATGTTCTGAAATTTGTCTCTTGACAGCTTTCAGCATCTATCAGATTGCCTTAATGCATACAGCGATTTCAGCAAAGCTTGTCACAAATTCCCCACCATTTTGCTTGAGTTTGACCGGAAAAATTGGTCAAGTTTTTGTAGATTGACTGCATATTATGCACCAAACTTGACAGCACTTGCAATCCCCCACTAAAACCATGCTCTGTTATATGAGATTAGAGAAGCCAGTAGCACAGGCAGAGCACTTAGACCTCCTTTTTGGCTAGCACCTTGGCACAGAAAGAGCAACCTGCTCTGCTGTTGCCCTGCTTTGACTTTTTGTGGTGGGACTCATCAGGTGTTGATTGAAGCCGTGGGAAGATATCTACTCTAATAATAATGGAAAAGGTTGGTTGCTTAAAAAGCAAGCCACACTACCCTTGCCTCAGCCCCCAATATCCTCATTCTGAGCCTTAACTACCCATCCATCTGGTATAAGTTCTTGGTATCATAGGTCCCATGTGGTTTGATTAAGCTAAGTACCAAAAAATTATTATCTATGTCATTAAGTCAATCCTGTCTTGAATTCCCCCCAAAGTTCAGGTCAGTCCATGATTTGTTGTGTTGTATAGTTCCTGGTCTGGTCTTTGCGTGACTATCCTTTAAGGATTTTTGAATTGGAATGTTTCCTTCTATCTTAACAATCAATCTTGTCTTTGTTCCCCTTCGAATAGTCAGTTCAAGATTCATGGTGTACATATCCTTGGTCCTGTTATTGGGATTGACCAATGTCGGAAAACTATTCATGTTTGAAGACTTCTTTCCTTCAACCTCAACCTCAGAATGTAGGCAGCAGTAGATTCACACCTGCTTTCACAATTAATCCAACTTTGCATGGGGGTTTTCTGTTTTGGCATTGGCATTGTTTGTGGTATTTTCTTCTTGTCCAGATGGTCTTGAGACCCTTGACTTGGTAAACATAAGGAGACTTGAAAGTGAACAATCATATCTAAAACGGCAGAACACATGGCCCAAATGTAATCCAAAAAATTAATCAACTTTGTTATTGTGGAAAAGCACTGTGCACAAAGTGAGAACTTTGTGCTTCCTGGTTTGACATGGTATCTTCCACTTTACTTGGAGGGCTAGAATTCTCACTGATGTCAAAGTGACTGGTTCCTCTTTGGGATAGACTTGAAATACCACCAGATCATATACAAAATGGTCCAAGAGTTCTTTTTGGTGTTGGTTTGTTTGGTCAGACTGCATCTAGATGGTTGTTTTCTCAATGTGGAGGATTTCTTGGGTTAAAAAGTGGGTTAACATCCTTGTGACCTTTACTGGCTAAGAATGTATGACTTTTGCCAGGTTGATATGGTGCTGATTCATCTGGAGGGTCTGAATGATACAATTGAGCACGTTAGGATATAGACGTATTGTAATGCAATGGGGAAAGAGGTGTACCAGGTTTCTTGATTGAAGAGAATTGATCAATGGTGCTGCTGTTGTTTCATTGTTTGCATCACCTACAACCAACATGTCCACTCCATATCCGTGTTGGCCTGCATTGTTTGTGTTGGCATCCTGTCACCTGATCACACCTGCATGTATCCTTGTAGCACATTGATGTGCACACACAAAGCACTTTTGATAAACCCTCAAAAGAGCCTTCAAAGACATCTCCTCTGTATGTCTTCCCCTTGTAAATTGAGACATCCACACTCAGTTGACTCTAGCTGCTGACACAGGATCCCATAAATCATATCACCAAATGTTCATTCACACA